TTTTGAGAGATTTTTACTATAGGGCACGTGTGCTCGCCAGACAGACAGAGAGAGACAGAGAGACAGAAAGCGAGAAATCACCCCCCAGGGCAGATGGCCATGCCGTAATCCCTTCTCCAGTCTCCTCTCAGGATCTTGGACACACATGCACATGCGCCTGACATGAGTTTAAGCCACTGGGTCCAGGACTCGAACTGCAGTCGACTACATGGGAGTCCAGTGACGTAGCCATTATGCCATCAGCTGGCCTCCAAAATAAGCTTTTTCTACTAAAACAAACTTACGGTTTGTAGTTATAGCAGTGAACTCACTTGCAACTGAGGTGGGAAGCACAGTACCTAGACCCAGAAGTCCTGGGCTTACTGTCTACGCTGGCCTTTATGGAAGTGTTTGCTCAGTACTCAGCACCTCCTTTTCTCACTTCTTCTGGAACTTTTCCTCCCTCCTCTGCTCTCCTCGGCTTGTTTAACATGTCCCTGGATTCCGTGAGCCAGTGACTGACCTTCTTAAATAATTCAACCTGGGCTTCAATCACTTATAATGTTACTTTCTTCTTAATCCTGTGTATCAAATGCTATAGAGAAACACCTCGTTTATATTCTAGTATTTAAAAAAAAAAAAAAGAATATGTTGAGAGTCCTAGTTTTTTTCTTTTGCTATTTTGGATTTTCAGTGAGCCATCAATCACTTCTTTTCTATTTAGATTTATGAAATAAGTAAGCAGGTCAGCTTACTGGCAAAACTGTACTTACCTCTGCCGAGCAACGCAGAGCCGAGACGCAAGACGGCGTTGGAATACGTGGAGTTCAGCTGCGATAAGCCGGCCAGCCCTCCGGAGGGAGGAGTAGGCAGCAGTGAGTTCGTTAGAAATGTTTCCTCCCGTTTTCTCCCCGGATGCCAGCTCCCTGGTGACACTGAGTCATCCACATGAAGAGTCTGATATTAGCAGCCCTTGGTCAGAAGTGAATTAAGTTCTCCGTTTAGATGTGAAGCTAGATTGTTCCCACCTCCGTTTGGGGCCCCGGTGCGCCCACACAGGCGGCAGCACCACTGCAGTGCCGGGTCCCAGAACGGACCTGAGACGTGCCAGGCTCAGCCCAGCCGTGGTCCTAGCTGGCTGGAAGACAGGGGAGGGAATTGGAGTGTGGCAAGACAGTCTGTGGGGGTGCTTGTGAAAGAAAGAGAATGAGTAAACTTAAAAAAAAATTGCCTTGAATCAAATCTTTGAGCAATTTCCAGTTTAGTTGGCACCTGTGTCTTCCTGACGCTGTCCAGGTCTAGAGCAGGGAGCTCTCTGGTCACGAGCTTCGGCCCTGCGTGGTGGGCCGCGTGCTGCTGCCTCTGCTGGAGTGGACCTGAGGGTGCTTGAGGACGTGGGGGTGCTTGAGTGTGGAGGAAGGAAGGAGAGAAGGGAGAATACAGGGTGCGTCTGCTCATTCACTGTTGAGCTGACTTGACTTCTCTCACGCCTCTTAGAGTTGGCCAGTCTGTGTCAGCACTGGCCTTCCTCCCTGCCAGGGTTCCTTTCCTTCACTCTCCTGGGGCTTTCGCAGCTACCTGGTGTCCAGCTGGTGAAAAGGAAGGAAGGATGGACCGGTGAGCAGGGCAGAGAAGAAAATAAGCAGGCCAAAGAGCCTGCAAGGACAGAGGATGAGGGAAGAATGTGTCTGCCGGGGTCCAGATGAAGCAGAAAGGAGCATGGTGGACACCCAGAGGAGATGAAGACAGAAACGTTAGGGAACACTGAGTACTCCGCAGAAAGTTTTTTTTTTTTTTTTAAAGTATATTTTCTCTCTTAAAGAATTATTTTATAGGGAACCAGCAGTTAGCATAATGGCTATGTCGCTGGACTCCCACGTAGTTGACCGTGGTTCACGTCCCAGACCCGGTGGCTTAAAACTCACGCCAGGCACGTGTGCGTGCGTGCCCAAGATCCCGAGAGGAGAATGGAGGAGAAGGGATTGTGGCGTGACCATCCCCCCTGGGGGGTGATTTCTCGCTTTCTGTCTCTATGCCTCTCTCTGTCTGGCAAGCGCACGCACCCTATAGCGAAAATCTCTCAAAAAAAAAAAAAAAGAAAAAAAAAAGAAGAATTATTTTATATAACTTTATTTTAATTTGACCAGAGAGGGAGAGAGAGAGAAAGCCGCCAGGTTCAGGACATGAACCTCAGTCGGCCCATTGGGAGTGCCCCTAACCACCAGGCCACCTGCTGGCCCTCAGCAGGAGTTTGGAGGAGTATTGGCC